TATATTTACACAATACAACATTGTAAAAATCAAAACCGCCGCCTCCCTACAGCTTGATAATTCCACTCAGACGCGAAGATTTCAAAGCAGTCGACATTTCTGATGCATAAACGTGTCCAGAAAGCTATTCTCCACCATTAAGAGGTTCAGTACGCTACGGAGCGCGTTCCAGACTATTTCTGTTACCACAAAGGCCAACGAGGAAAGAAGGATATTTCTGAGTGTACGAAATCATTTAAAAAAACGTTCAAAGAAGAAGGCGTACAAGCAGGTAAAAAACATTCTCTTCTTAATGTTGATAGAGAAAAAAATGATAGCACCTGCTTAACTGAATCCGTAGCAAAGCAATCTTGTTACAAAGAAAAGATTTTTCCAAATCTCATTGTAAACTGAGTTGCTTAAAGGGCGCTGCAGAAGGCTTGGAATGAGCTTGACAATGCCCATCTAATCGCCGCATTTGAAGTCTTTCTCAAGCTATTCATTGCAACAATCCGGCAAAAATCTTATCGAAATATTTTTGTTTCTCAGAGCTTTAATCTCGTTCCGTGATTTTTACTTCTTTACCGTAATTTTGTCGTATCCTGTGTTATCTATAATTCTAGCACAAAGCAAGATTTAGTTAATTATGAAAAACTCGTTTAAATAAGTCACCTGAGAATAACTAGTCAGCAACGATACGAACAGCCCAATCTCTGCCCTAGGAGTCCAATAAGCAGTAACGTGACCCACAAGAGGAGTAGTTGGAGCAACAGCGGCACCTTGTATTATCCTGAAATCATAACACACTGTTTACTGTGTCTAAAAAATGTTGGCACTGATTGACTTACTTCAGAATCAGGGTGGTATGAATATTCCAGTCGTATAGAGGAGGTACAAGAAGGGTTGTTAACGATGATACCAAGATAGCAACGAATATTGTCCATCTCATCCGTGAAAATCCACCAGTAAGTAACATAACAACAAGCATACAAAAATTTCCCAATGGATACGCCGAGTACAGTAAACTTGACTCGATTGTAGAGAAGTGCATAACAGGTGAATTGGAAGGGTTCCTTAAGTACATCTTGAATATTCTTGTTCAGTAGAAAAAACTTCCGCAGGTCTAATAATATAGCAGTTTTCATGTAAACCAAGTTTCAGCCTAGAATACCAAATCCTAGATAATTCATTTAGATCGAATGATTTTCAATGAACATTATTGTACAAAAACCCCAAACTCGGTATTCTGAGTTAAATCACCATTTAACATCATCTTTCTCCTAAGTGAGAACGACACCGAGTTTCAAAGAAACCAAAAGAAAAAGAGTCTGATCTCGGTCCAAGGTATTGGTTGCCGTACGATAAGTATGAGTACACCGTGCCAGAGTTGTAACTGTGACTACCTAGTCGCTACGCGTGCTCCTAGTCCATGTAGGCCGACACTATCTGCAGTAAAGCTCGAACATGTTGGCAAAGCCTCTCAGATTGGGAAGTAATCTTACACACAAGAAATCTCTTACAATTTATTGCAATGCCACGATTAAAAAGATGCGACAACAGCCCATGATTATTTTATGGTAAATACAACATCAGAACAATCTTTACGACTGCCAACCTCTACCGGCTAATGCATCCGCCGCTCTTTTCAAAGCAGGCAAGGCGATCTACCTCTGTGTAACTTCTGTTTAGGAGAATAAGACGAGGAAGGGGCCGATAATACACATCGTTAATCCGGTGGGATCACTGCGTTGAAAGCATTTCGTTGCACAACCATTTCGTGTGGTGCAGTTTTCATCACCCTCTTACCATTCCACTAGTAAGTGTTAGCAAAAAGCAATGTACCGTCGTTTGGCAGTAGGGATTTCAGTGAATCAAAACATGATGCAGATTGATAGAAGATCTCTCTTAAATCCTCGTTTTGCGTTTCTCTTGAAACTTCCTTCGAAGCAAAAGCGATGTTGTAGAAGGAAAACGATAAGAAAACCAATGAATTGGGACAAGACTTCACAGGTTCACGAATAACGTAATTTGCGGAAGGAGAAATGGAATTTAAAAACTTGCTAATCTTGGACACGACTTATACTTTGTCTGCTGCTGAACAGAGAACGATAGGAGTGAGAACTCGATAGGAGGCGATGAGCATAGGTTGCTTTCAAACCTATGAAAGAGCCTAAGGATAATCTGGCGGATCCAAGCTCACACCGCAACAGGCGACAAAGCGACATCAACGACGCGCATGGATGACCGGCAAAACAAAGAGTCCTCAAGGGATGAGGTCCAAGATATGAAGGGTTTATTTAATAGAAGGTCTGATGGAATCTCAGCTGTAACGCCAAAAAAATAGGTTCACATCTCAAGGACGTTGCCCTCCTAGATAAACTAAATCCACAAGTGACGCTAGGAGAAGGAAATGAATAAAACCTCTGCTGGAGCTTAACGATCAAACAAGGACGGATTGTTCAGGAAAACAAAAACGTGAGTTGATTTTAAGCTGAAAGAAAAATTACAATAATTCTAAAGTCTTCTTTAGAATTTCCAGTAAAATCGTAAAAATAAACTTGGAAGCAAAAAAGAAAATTTCACTCACCGAAGGTATAATTCATGTGTGTCTACTGTTGCATTCACTTTGCATACTATAGCGAAGTTGAAGGCAAAACTACAGGAGAGACCAATCGCAGAGACACTTGTCGCCAAGATAACTATTACATACCGCCATGGAGGTATCTCGCATTTCTGAATGTGAACTCAATCAAATAAATACTAAAAGCAGATTTTGGGTCATTGTTTAATGCCTATGTTAAGTTCTTAGTCTTATGTGAAAGATAAATAGCCACCATTTAGATTTAAACCTGCATAGTCTAACTGTTATGGTATGCTCAGGTTTTACTAACTACCTGAGCTGCACTTTCACAGATCAAAGAAGCTACCTCAACGATATGCAACAGATGTTCTTCAAGATATTGTGAAAACTATTGTAGCATCGAGTTCTAACCACTGAGGATGACAGAGTAAGGGAAGGGCTTACTGGGCTTTTTGGTTACGTTATAAATCTAATGACTGACTGCAAAAATTTGTCCGACCTGCCAACCTAAGACTCAAAAATCTTGCCAAATTTCAAGATTTTTGAACGAGAAGATTTTTGCAAACTTTCCATGCTCTTTGATACATCCCATAAATTAACCTTTTTAATCATGCATCGTTCCACGTCGTTTGTAGAGAATAAATTTTAAATAGATAATAAAAAAATTAAATGGGTCTATTCCACGATTTTTTGTGTTCTGGCTTCGTGTTTGGAAAAATAGGAGCTTTCGGGTATTTGGCAGAAAGCAACAAAGTCCACAAAAGATCATAGTGGAACGCTACTTCATGTTCCACTTGCGCTTTGCCTAAGCACCTCTGCTTAGACCTAAATAACATGGGGAAAGAAGTGAGAGCTAAAAAATTGCGAGCAAATTTCGAGTTTACCCCTTCCGCTCGTTCTCGAAAAAGTTTTACAGAACTCCTCAAACTTAATTTTGGATAAACCCGATATCTTTCACCGCATTACTTCGTTTCCAAAAAGGTTCAAAGATAACATAATTGGCGAGACTTTTTGCAGATTTTTCTACCCAATGGAAAAAGCTCTATTTGCTTTTGCTTGAGATGAGAAGATGAGATACCCCAAAATTGTACTGAAAGACAGCTGTCGAGAAACCTTTGGCAAGGGGACCTTGATGATTAGTCCCAATGACTTCCCCAAGCAGAAAATAACAAGCAGCCGCTGTAATGCACAGCAGTGATAACCTTCAGTCAAAAAGCTAAGTTCATTCAAGTTTTTCAAATCCCACCTTTATCTAAGACAGAATTCATACAGATAGTCAAGCAGATGGAGTAGTATTTTGCAAAAATTTGAAGGTCTGCGCAAAGGAACAAATCTCTAGGTAGTGCACGCTCTAGACAATTGTCTAAGAATCCCAGATAAGGCTAAATCCCATGAGAGGGATTATAAAATATATCAGAACGTTGAAATATTCTAAGTAGAGTTCCGTAATTATAAAAAATACTATTTTGAATGTGAACGTAACGCCAACCTCAGTAGTTTTCTCGACCTCCAAAAACTTCGTTTCCTCGCATTCAACATTTCCATCTGAAGCACCCTTCTCAGTAACCGCTACTCCTTCGTCTTGGTTTTCATGGG